CTTGACCATAAAGAAAAATAAACTCCAGGCTTTTGTAAGTAAATGTATGCAACTAAAGACCACACTCATAAGTGAAATACATCAGACTCACATATACAAACATTGTCTCATCTCGCTACTGTAAGAACCTGAAAGAGCAAATAAAATCTGAAGGGTACAATTGGTACTGTGAAAGGGAAAGAAACTGTTCTATTGAAAGGGGCAGTTAATGCATCCTTTTTTTCTTCATTTTAACTTTCTTGGCCATTTTTTAACCTATTTTTCATGCTTATATTTGGTAATCTTAACAACTACTTTCAAGACAATATGCAACATAAAACCATTATTGACTTCTTATTATCTTGTTTTTTAAAACTCTGAATTCTAATTTTTTAAATTATTTTTATTCATTAAAAAAGGTATCACAATAAGGAGAAACCAAATAAATTCCAGTTTTTGAAAAGAGAAAGCACATTTTTCACTACTTTCCTAAAAGTAAAGCCCAAACCAACCTCTCTATATACATAGAAACTCTTATGATGAAAACTGAAGACTCTTATGGGATATGGATTGAGGATCTCAGAAGATAACCTCTTTCTCTAACCATTCAGCTGAAAATGTTATATATTTATTTGTTTAGAATCTTGTCACTACCCAAACATTAGCTCTGTAAAAGCAGAATTTTTTATGTTTTATTTTCTTCACTGCTATAAATCCACTGTTAACAACTATCTCTAGTAGACACTATAACATATTTGTTGAGTAAATAAATACTACTGTTGCTTGTGAGTGCCTTGCATTCCACATCTTTATTTTGAAATACAGAAAATTTTATGTTAAAATAATTTAGGAAACCACTTCCTTATGTTTTGCCAGGGAGATGGCTCAGCAGAATAAGTGCTTCCCTGGCAAGCACAAGGGCCTGAGTTCAATACCCGGGTTCTGAAAAAAAAAAAAAAAAAAAAAAAGTCACTTCCTTATGTTTCAAAATGAATTTACGCATATTTTCTGAGGATAGATATGCCAATTACCTGTTCCAGAATTGCCTTATTTCCATGGGAAGTGAACTGTGCAAAAGTTTAACATCAAATAACAATGAAGAAAATCTCTTTTGTTTTTATTAACTGATTATAGGCAAGGGACATGAGGGAGTTTTAATTTGAACATAAAAGCCAATCATTGTCAAGTTCCGAAAGCATTTTGGGGATAGAATGTATGCCTCAAGCGAAATATCAAAAATGAGAAATAAAAACTAAAATAGGACATATAATGTGTGTGTGTGTGTGTGTGTGTGTGTGTGTGTGTGTTATATGATAGAATACACAGGATATATCGGCCGGCCAAATAGCTCAGTGGATTAAAGCGCCTGCTTAGGCAGACACAGCAGCCAGGGTTCATCCCTGGCATGCCGTGCTGGCTCCGCCCCCGGAGAGCGCTGTTGAGATTGGGCTTGGTGGCACGCGCCTATAATCCCAGCACTTGGGAGGCTGAAAACAGGAAGATCACTATGAGTCCGAGCTACCTAGTGAGACCCTGTAGACCCTGTCCTAAAATACAAAAAACAAACAAACAAAACCCAAACAAATAAAAACATAGGTTATATAAAATAGAATATATACACATATCTGATTCAGAATCATTGTTTACATATATGAATCAAAGTCAATTGCTCAACGGGAAAGTTGTCTTACTAACCACTCAGGAGTGGACTTTCAGCCCGAGCTGCGTCGGCTGATCAAGCAGCCCAGTTATGGCCCGTGAGCTGGAGACTGCTTTCTTGATGTGCTTTTTCTCATTCGGCCTCCCCAGTCCTCATTACCAGAGCCCAGACTCTTCTGTTCTTCATCACGTCAGGAGGCTGAGTGATGACAAAACATGAGACAATGAACTATTTATTCTTTTCCCTCAATAAGCATTGTATCAAATTCTACCATCTGTGGTCCAAGACTAGAGTTGGGGGATTCAGTGGAGATACATTCTTCGTGGAGCTGCAAATGTAGTGCTCCTACGGAGATTAGTTGAATAAGCATATGACTGCTTCTATATCCCGAAGCCAAGATTAAAGGAAACAAGATTGTAGGAGAATTATACTAAGGGGTAGCAGCAACTTGGGAGACAGAGATAGTGTAGGTGGGGAAAGCCTTCTGGGGAGTGAGTAGAGATGGAAAGCCATACATAGGAGGCTGTTGAATGAATGATCTGTGAGAGTAAAGCTCTTCAGGTAAAAAGAACCTGTGAAAACTTATTGGGAAAAAAAAGTAGTTAAACATTGTGGGCACTGGGGGATTAAAGCTCTTTATCAGACCATATTTGAAATAGGTCCATTTGCACATCTAAGACACTAACATCATGCTCTGCTGTTCACTACCGTGCAGGCGATCAACCTAACCAATTTTGCTTATTTATCTTTTCCTCTTTCCTTGCACACAAAGTGCAATCTATTCTCTTATGGTGTCTTCCTAGTTGAAACTCCAACATATAACATGAGGAGGGACATGATCAAATGTTAGAAGCATGTATAAACTCACCACATAAAAAACCAATGTTTTGTAACATAAATAGGCTCTAATAAAAATGTTTTCACGACTTCAACATGGCACATGGAGGATGGTAAGAATCCTAGCATATTGCGGATGAGAAAACGTCATTGGGAGACAGTACGTACGAGGTGGGAAAGCGTGCTGATAGGTAGAATCAGACATTGGAAAATCTTGGGAGCCAAAGAAGGGAGTTTGGACATGAAATTATACAAAATTTTATGTCTGTCTCTAAAAAGCAGTATAAAAATGATAAAAATAATTTTTGGGAAATTTACTTGAGGTATGGAGAATTTATTTAGTTAGACAATGACATGTAGTTTCTATAAAGATACAAGTGCTGGGCCCGGTGAGATGGATCAGTGGAATAAGCACTTCCCTGGCAAAGGCAAGGGCCTGAGTTCAATCTCAGGTTCCACCAAAAATAAAAAAAGATACAAGTGCTGAATCACCTTCTAAGTTTCACCATCATAGCTCAGCATTGCATCCTAATGTGAGGGACACCAACTGCGTGCTCTGAATTACTCTGCAGTAGGTGTGTAGCAATGCCACAAGGGCCTACCCCAGATCTGCTGAAAATCTCTGAGATGGACCGGAGACTGTGCATTTCAACAAGCAACCCGCTGACATGTGTGCAACAAAGACAGGGAGCCTGGAGGGCTCACACGGGAGGAGAAGATGCTGGAGTCAGTCAGCTAGCTGGCCCGCTCTTATCATAACCCACTTGTGTATCACAGAGACTACATTAGCTACCATGGAGGTCCAGGGGCAAAGGTAATCTGAGAACTTTTCAAAGGAAACTGTCAGGAGGTAAAGACTGGGTTTCAGAAATGAAAACGAGGAACATGTCCAGGAGAACTGCCATCGCTGCATTCTGAGAGCCAGTTAGTGACCACAAGTAACTGTTAGGCCTCTGCATGCCAGGGATATCGTTAGCAGTGAGGAGAACAAAGCTGAGGATGGCAGTGAAGAGAAAGTGCCTTAAAAATAAAAGTAGGGAAAGGAGAAGGAAAGTAGCTACAGGGAGAAAGCAACCCAAGCTGCACAGTGGAGGGAGCTGTCAATTAGAATGAATTCATCATGCGGGAAGTTGGCATAGACTTGCCTCTCTCTGCAAAGGTGCTTATCAGAGCGGAGTGCGGCCCCAGAGAGCAGACAGAAGGCATGAGAGGGAGGCTCAGGCCGAGAGGCTGAGCAAGGAGAGCGGGGCAAGAGAGGATGTGGAAAGCCAGGGAGCTCTGGCTTAGCGCAGAAAGACAAAGAAGTTTAAGGGCCTCAAAATGACCAAGTTTTGTCATTCGCTGGGAATTCTGCATAGAAAGGAAGATAGGTAGGTATGCAATATTTGTATGCAATATTTTTATTGTACATTTTTGACTAATCTTTTATGCTTTATAATACCAAACATAGATACACATACAGGTAGGCAGATACAAGATAGAAGACAAAGTTTGTGGGGATTATTTTACTATCCCTTCAACTAGGAAACTACACTGCAAAAGCACACTTTAAACATTTTACTAGGCTATCAACACAAAACTTGCTCAAGTATACGTACATTTTCTGAGTAAATGTTACTTTTAATGAAAGATGTTTGTTCTCCTGTTGCTTCTAAATCAAATATTTATAAGCATATTTAATTCCTGTGGACAAGAGCACTATCACATCAAACAACTGTGGCGTGCTAAACTTGAGAGATCAGACTTCACAAGCTACGTGCTAGAGGGCTGTTTAGTTTTGCAAAATCTTAAATGAATAACAATTGGCAATAAAGCTGTTTAAAATTCCTTTTGTTCCAGATCCATTGTGCTGATCCTGTTTTGTCTGACATGGATGAAGCTGATATCTCCACCTAGAGGATTTATAGGATTTTGCAGATTTTACAAAACCTACATCCCTGGATATGAAATTTTCTCTCTGTCCCTTTCTCTCTCTTTCCTCCAAGAAATGGAAGGCTTTAAGGACATCTGCTTAAAGTCTAGGATGAGTATGAACAAAACTCAAGTGGGTGAATATACCAACGTACATACTAGCTAGACTGCAGTTAACAAACAACGCTGAAATTTTATTTTTTTTTTACAACAATTAGGAAGACAGATCAAGCACAAATATAAATATGTCATCGTCTGTGTAAAACAGCAATGTTATAATAGCACTAATTGAGATGTGTATAGCAATTTTCATAAAATAAACATCAAATGTAAATCTACTTAAATCCTTTTTTCATGTTTAATGCTGTATTTCTTTGAACACTTCTCTCTTTTTAAATATTTCCAGCACTAGACATAAGTTCTTTCTCATTTTCTCATGCCTTCGAGAAGTACAGTTAGTTAATTGAATCAAATATATCCTGTGTCCCTGTCTTTGATTTTTCTGAATTTCTTTTTCTATTTATGATGAAGAATTATTGAGAATTTGCTCTCCAAAATAATGCATTTTAAATGTATGTAAAGGCTACCCAGTGTCTGTCCCTTTTGGAAGAAGCTAAAGCAGAAAATGATTATTTGAGTCATTTTGTTCACTCCATTCTGCTTCTAAAGGTGACGCAGCAGCATATTCAGCAGATGGTGGATAGAGTTGAGGTCTGGGAGAAGAGTTTGCAGCTTCATTTATTTTGTTATGAATTAGAGATAACTCATTTTGCACCTTAAAATGAATTTCTCTTATTTGTCATGCGTCTCCATTATCACTGTACCATCTCTGTGTGCACTGCTATCTTTATCTAGTTGAATATTTTGAATTTCTTGCAGATTATATCTATTGCTCTCAATCTCAGGATCTACTTCTCTAGGAAGTATCCCATTTCTGGCTTCATGGGAACTTGCAGTACTCAAATCCTTCACTGTAGTAGCCTCCATGGCAGAGCCTGAACCACATAATGCAGGTTCCACACCTCTTCCATGTTCCCAAGTTTGCTGTCTTTCTTTCATGGTATCAGTTAAAGCCAGATCTGTGGTCCTAATTACCATACTAGACTCTGCCTTGCTTTCATCAAGTATAATTTCTTCTTCTTTTTCTACCGTGTTTATCTCTAGGTCTGCAGTGTCATCCTCTCTGGGCAATACATTTGCTCTGTCAAATCCTTTTTTGCTGTTGGGTGGGCGCCTGATGGCTTGACCACCGGGATGAGAGGCACTGCTTTCCTGTGGGAGCTCAGTTGCATTTTGGTATGGAATGGACTCTGTCATTGTAAGTGTTAAGGTGTCCTTGGACTGTGTCCAGGAAATGAGTGAGGAATCGTAAGTTGCTGGGCTATGCAGATTCATTCCTACATCATCTCCTTCAAGTTCCATGATGGGACTTTCCAAAAGTGGATGTGATATTTCAGACTTTGTTACTGATGTTTGTCCATTTCCAACATGTCTATGGTCTGAGTTGTGTTCTACAGGTTGTAAAGCTTGATCTTGATCCAAAAGGTGTTCTTTGTTGTAGGTGCCAGTCTTGCAGACACCTAGGGTTTGTGTTTGGTCTCTTAGCAACAGAGAAGAATGGTTTAGTTGATTGGTCTTTGATTTGTTTAGCTCTATGTTCTCAGTAGGCTCTGTTGCCCTGTGGCCACCTGTTCCCCTGGAAGGCTGAGATGGTAAAATGGAATTTCTTGCATTTTTTAAAGTATCCGGTAAATAGCTAGGGTCTTCCAGTAGGAGCTGGGTTGTACCTTTCTGTGGTTTTGCTGAGAACTGAGTGTGTGAGGGGCTGTCCTTAGCATCTCTAGCTCTAGGTTGGGGCAAGAGGGGTCCCTCTGCATTAGTGAAAAGCCCAGAGTAGTACCAGTCTTCCTTGACAGAGCTCTGTTTGCCTGCAAACAGCATCCTAGCCCTGAGGGCAGGGGCACTTTTACTGTTTCTTTTATAACACGAGGTCTGCTTTGAGGCCTGTTTGCAACTCAGCCTTTGTGAAGTGAGTTCAATACAGTGGTTACTCTCTGGCTGTTGAGGGAAATCTATAGAAGACACAAGATTTATTGCGCTTTTTTTCTCAGAAGTTTTAAGTATTTCTTTAGGAGGTACTGAAACTTGTTTACGTTTCCTTGGGGGCTCTAGTAAGGGTTTTTCTGGATGGACTCTGACTTTTCTAAAAGGATGTAAATTTAATTTTAACCTTAAATGTTGTCCTTTAACTTTGCTTTTGAGATCTGCTTTCTTGGTTCTCTTCTTTTTCAGAGTCTGTGATGCAGGAAACCATTTCCCTCCTTTGTTTTTGTCCCTACGGTTGTTACACTTTTCGAGGTCCCAGTTGAGGGGTTGCATTCCATGACTTTGCTGCAGGTGCCAGTGAGTCGATGTTCTGGGTGACACAACCAACCTCCTTTTTCCTACTACATCAGGAACATAGAAATTAACTTTCTTTGGAGAATAAATTCCTTTGACTTTCATTGATGACTTGGAAAAGTCTATGATATTTTCATTCTTAAGGAATTTTTCTATTGCACTATTAATTTGGATTTGTTCTTCCTCACCCTTGGAGGATTTGGTACAATTTAGCTTTTTTTCTTTCATATAATCTTGGAATTGATCACAGAGCACATATTTACAGGAAAGGGCATTGTATGACTGAACATACCCAGGCTTGCTCCATTTTAACAGTCTATAAGGATCGTCATATTTTGATCTATGTTTGTATAAGATCTTTTGTACACACTGCTCCTCCGACCCACAAGGCTTGGATGTTGTGCTTGTAATAAAATGTCTCTTACTGTGAGGTTGTAAGCCATTGTCTTTGGTTCCTATTGGAGGCTGCCATGGTTCATTTGTTAAATGCTTCTCAAGATTTTCTGTTGCCAAAGCTGAAGCGGATGCTGCATGTCTTCCCCTAAATGTGTCACTGCTGATATCTGCTGAAGAATAGATGCAGGAATTTAGCACTGGGCATAATTTTATTGCCCCAACCAACAGATGCTTTGGAACCTGATGAAAAATATAAAAATGACTCCTCTGATTATGACAGCTCTTGAATATTTACTAATTTTTAGCCAATCCATGAAAGAGGTTTGGCAGTTTGGTACATTTACAAAGGTACACGCTAGGACCACATCCCAGGCAGCTGTAGTGGTGAATTAAACATTCAAGAATTAGAAATATACATGATATGAAGAGTTATACACTTTTCTATTACATTGGGTAGGATAACCTTAAAGGCAGATAATACCTAAGTGTTTATCAAATGGTGTAATAAGTTTTCTATTTTCATTCTTGAAACTCAAATATTGGCTAGAACATGCAAGCAATATGGAATGATGGTCATGTTTCAAATAGAGAAAAAAAAAGAAAAAAATACCTATTGACTCAATGAAAATAGGTATCTTTCTATTTATTATAACTTAATACAATGCTTATTAAATATTTACCAAACGAATAGGTTTAGAATATGGCCTGTTTCATGTTACACAAATTTCTACTTAGAACTATGAAATGGCATAAGTAAATGTAAGCTTAAAGATATATGTTAAATAATGCAAGCAATCAGATAATAATAATAATAGTATTCACTGAACACAACTAAGAGCTAAGCTTTATGCTACATCTTAAATATTCATTATCTTATTTGATTCACAAGACACATAACCCACTGGAAATGCCTTATTGCGATAAGTTTTACAGAGGAAGAAACAAGTTTAGAAAGGTTCCTGTTTTCTACTAGCTGTATACCTAGTGGATAACATGGTTAGGACTTACACCCAGGTCTGTCTGACTTTAAATTCCGTCCTCTTAACCAGCATGAATACTAAGATGAAAATTATGTCTTATCATTATACTCTCTCCTCTTTCATGAAATTGTTTTATTCAGGAGACAATGGAAGTGTTTTTATTCTGGGAGAAAAAAAGAAATGTCATCTACGATCTGCCTCCTAACTTTGTGTGTGACCCTCAAGAAGCTACGTACTCTCTAGGTATTAGGAGGTCAGACTAAATGGAAACTTTATGGGAGCATAGAAATTACATGAGGAAAGAATGAGCAGCCTTTATCTGATTTGCAGAGTTCTGGAAACCCGAGATAAATAATAAGAACTATTAAACTGGATCACCTCTAAAGACCGCTCTGCTTCGCAAGCCCATAGTTCTGTATTTTCGAGTTATGTGGCATAAGCACACTGACACCACTTCCTACAGACCTCTGCTCAAGGCAGCAAGCGTGGCATCGGCTGTTTTCTTCTCAAATACCTGCCCTTTCAAGCTCCAGTGCAACGCTCAATATGTAGCCGCATTTCAGGCTTTTCCAACAGCAATTATATCACTCTGAAAAACTACTGGCTTCTGTGTGAAACAAAACACTGGCTTTGAAAGAGTTAAGAAACTATTTTCTGTTCAGGTAGAAATTTTCCGTGAGGATTTACATTTAAACCGATGGACAGAGCTAAAAGCGAAAATGCAACGTCTACCTAAGGTATGAGTCTTTCGAAAGACTAAGTGAGTATTTCTTTATAAAATAAAACCAATAGTTTCTGGTTTTATGGCTGATGTTTCCTTCCTCGGCCATCTCTCTCTTTAGTCAAATCATCAGCTTCCAGAACTGGCAAGTACTGGAGTATGAGGAATACAATTAAATAAATTCACATCGTGCCTTATGCCACACATAAAATAACACAGGTTCATTCTTTTCCAGTTGTCTCCCAATTTATCCTTAGGGCCAGATCTCCACAGTAAGAATTCTCTTGATCTAATACCTCTGTCATTCATATTCTGAGAGGGAGCACCGTGTGTGTTGTAAACTAATTCAGCAGGTGACAGGAACCTCTTTACAGAGCAGCTGTCAAACTTTTCACTGCCGAACCTGAAAGCATTGGCTTACTGTGCAGGAAGAGAAAGGAAGACATCTAATTCATTGCCTCCACCTAAATATTGACATTGCCCATGTACAGTGGGTAGATGTCACGGCCAGATTCACTTGGCTCCCAACATGGGACAATGAATTAAGTCCTGACTTTCCCTGAACTGGGAAGTTATCATCCTTGACAGCTCAGCAAGCAAAGTATGTTTCTTGACATCATTCCTGAAATGAATCACCAGCACTAGAAGGCCCATTCTTCTAACATGTCATGCTCCGGGAGGGTTGCTTACTGCAGAATTGGCGTTAGTGCTCGAAGGATGCTGGAATGAAAGCTGAAACTCTCCTTCCCATTAATCTCCACAGCTATATTGCTATTTAAAAGCTTTCTTTTCTTTTTTTTTTAACATTGTTAGGTGTTGGGCCTCAAAATTCTCTTTCAATAGACAGGAAATGCACTTCAACTCCTGAGGTAGGGACACACCATCTACACCTCAACACACACACACGTGCGTGCGCGTGCACACACACACTCTTTAGATTTGCAGAAGAGAAACAACTGTGCTCTTGTGAGCTTTACAGGACTTCCTAGTTGAGGAAATTAAAGAGATTTCCTCCTTCGGAGGGAATTACATAGAGCAGAATTTTCCAAAATAAGACAAACTCACCTATTGTTCTTGTGACAAGCTGTGGCAGTATTTGAGATTGGGCTCCTCTGTACTTGAGACTCCTCAGCTTTTCAATGCTTTCTGCACAATGTCTTGTACCTAAACCTGCATCATTAAAAGCTGCCCTTTTCCCAGGAGGCTCTGTGTATCCCGCCTGCTGCAATCTGCTATCCAGGCACAAGAAAGCACTCTCTTTCCCTTTCAGGTCTTGAAATGATCCATCAAGGGCTGTGGACTCAGAGGCCAGTGTTGCTCGCTGGCTGTTTTCCTGTAAAAGTGGCATTTCCTTTCTGGGCTGCACAATGGACATGACCTTTATCTCGTTTTCCTGAGTTAAGTGGCAGTTACAGTATCCTTTAGTGGGGTAATTTCTTGCCTCATGAGTGCACAGGGATTCATCGAAGGTTCTGCAGCAAAGGTGCTCTGAGGTGCATTCATTTGCTTTGTCTTGCCGGAGTTTCCAGTTAAACGCAACTAAACCTAGACAAGTGAGGACAACAGCTCCTGTGACAAAGACAGGAACCATTAATCAATAACATCATAGGAAGAGACATATAAATCACCAAGCATGAAATCTACAAATGTATAGGTTTATGACTTAAAGGGTATCAGAATGGGTATGAATCCATCACCATTAGGAAAAGTAGTAGGCTGAACATTTTAACTGACAAAAAAAGGAGCTTTCCATAGACTGAAATTCATTTAAGAACAAATAATTCCTGCATTAAAATTATATCTCTCACTATGATAAACCAGTTTAATTCCCAATTTCCTGTTCCTTAATGGCATAGTTAATTAAAAAAGACTGAAAACGTCATATAGCCTAACCTCATCCCCTAAAATATCAACTGACCCTACATACTATTGCCATATTTTAATCCTTCCCTGAAGATTACCATTACTCCAGCTCATTGGCTTCCCATTATCAAAAAGGCCAAAGTCTTTAGCATTCACGATTCAATACAGTCTGGCTCTTAGTTCCTTACCTAGCCTTATTTTTCATTATTCTCTGCACTAAAAAACTATATATCAAGCTACTTAATTCATTATTAGTCCGAAGACGTACTTCATAGCCTTTGTGGATGATCTCAGTAGTGCTTGAAGCACAATCTCATTTCTCTGCTTGTGTATGTATTTATTTTTATGTATTTAGTGCAGGGTCTATAGGATCTCATGACATAGATCAGACTCATAATGATTCCCCCGTTTTCACCTCCCAGGTGTGTGCCACCACGCCCAGTCTCAAACCCCTTCTCCGCAGCGGGGCACACTGGGGATGGAACCCTGATCCCTGTGCCTGCCTAAGCAGGTGCTTTAGTCTACTGAGCTATCTGGTCAGTCTTCTCTCTGCATATTTAAATTTTATTTATATTTGCATATTTTAATCAGTGCCTCCAAATTCCTTGATGCTTTTTCCTGCTTTTTCCCCTCCCACAAAAATCTTGGCAAGTTGGGAAGGATGTATATTCTCTCCAGACAATCTGAAGAACTGTCAGTGGGTTCTCATTGCGGTCTGGGCCCCATTGGCCTCTGTCTTATATCTATGCCATGAAGAGATGAGCGGCATACAATCCCTGGTGGCCTGGTACTGTCCTTTCATGTGCTATATAAGCATAGCTTGTCCCCTAAGGAGAACAGGAAGGGACCAAGACCAGCTGTGGACTGTCCTCTTTTCTCACCTCACATTTTCCCTCCTAGCAGTTCAAGCCAAACTCTGTGAGACACGTCTCTACCACCTATCATGGGGATTTTGCTTTTGCTTCTTAGCACTTATAACATGCTAAGGTTGTATTCATTAAGTTGGCAGTGCTTTGTCCTTCCTGTCAGAATTAACTATGATGCAGAAACAAACTTTTGCAGTTTGGTTGAACATTCTATTCCCAGTGCCTACAACTCTATTCCAAGGAAGATGCTCAAGAAGTATTTGTTGATGATTTTCAATAATAGAAAGAGTTTTGTTCATAAATTCTGATAGTGAAAACAGAGTTCTGTAATCTTAGAAATTCCCAAAGTTGTAGCCATGAAGACAAAAGTCAGTACAAACTGAATAAGGCCCTCTGAGTTCAAAGGTCAGGGAGCCCTGCACTCTGGGTCTTACTTCGGACAAGCCAGTTCCTTCTGGAAGTCAGGATGTTGAGTGAGAGGACCCAGCGTCCCAGCACACCAGCTGAGCAGCACATCTGGCTCTCTCCACTGGTGGCAGTACTCGTGAAAATGTGGTATTTTGAACTTGAAAGAAAAGGGAGGTTGTCAGGTCTGGCTGTTTCAGTTTTTTTAGTTAAAGGTAACATGAAGAGAATGGCTGTTTCTGGTAAAATATTCCAAACACTGTAGAGTGCACACCAGGGCTTGAGTTATTATAAACTCAATTTATTTGGCAGTGCCTGCTCAGAAAGTACTGTAACATTTTCAAATAGTTTATTCTCTCTTAATGATGCGATATCTTCTTGAAGTTGTAGGAAAAATTATAGCATACCACTTGATTGTCAGACCCTAGTGTATTCCAAACAAAGATTTGGGTTTTTATTGTTATTTTATTTTGTTTCTAGGAGAAGGAGACACTTCCTATTCTTAGCTTTTTTTTGTTGTTACTGTGGCTATTAGAATGTGTTAAAATAAAAATGAATCGATTTCCTGGGGATGGCATGTGCATATATGCATTTAGTGTGCACATATGCAGTTAGTGTGCTTTGTCCACCCTCTCTATTAGGGAGTTGGGTTTGATACATTTAAAAAGTATGAGGAAAATAAATTTAAATATTCCTTACCTCTTACCTAGACGAAGAAATTTCTGGACTCACAATCTTATTCTGAGCTTCCAACTGAGTGTTCTTAATGTCCCTGAGCCTTATTTTCCTTCTTTTCTCAAGGGGTGTAATTAATACCACCCAGAGATGAAGTGACATAATGTATGTGATGTGTGAAACACGGAGCCTTGAAATACAGTGCAGTGAATGGTCCGTGCGCTGAATGTGTCACTGCCTGTGTTAGTCTGCTCTCACTGTGACAAAGCCCTTGAGGTGATCAGCACAGTAGAAGGAAAGGTGTATTTAGGCAAGTCACAACCGTTCAACTGGTGCTATCACTGAGGAACTGTATGTCTGAAGTAGGTCGACTGTTAGATCGAAAAATCAAAATCATGAGGAAAATAATTTTATGACTGATGAATTACTAAAGCAAGTCAGAAAGAAAAGACTTATGTATTTTAAAGCCGCCCATCATCCAGTGGTGTGCATCAGCATAACCTAATGAAAGGCTCCTGTCTCCTTGGATTGTTTCTAAGTGGGAAGGACCTGTTCACTCTCCTACTATCCAGGCTGGATATAAGGCTGTACCTGATATATTAGGTGTGGTCCCTGGCTGTTAAAGCAGAGAGCAAGGGCTGGTCTGATAGCTTAGTGGACTAAAGCTCCTGCATAGGCAGAGCCCAGCAGCTGGGGTTCGATCCCTGGCACGCTGTGCCGGCCCTGCCTCCGGGGTACGCTGAGATGGCAATTGAGACTGTTCATGGTGGTGCGTGCCTGTAATCCCAGTACTTGGGAGGCTGAAAAGAGGAGAATCATTACAAGTCCAGTCCATGGAGTGACACCCTGTAGACCCTGTAGACCCTGTCCTAAAGATAGAAGAAAAAAGCAGAGAGCAAAAGGAATGAGTGCAGCTCGTAGGCAGAGTGGAAGTGCTCTTAGGTCATTTGAATTTCATTGCTCTGGATACTGTTTCTATTTTTACTAAGTGTTTTAATAATCTTTGGGAGTCGGCCAAAACCAACAAAGTAAATTAAGTGATAACTTGTCTTAGAAGCACTGAAGACGCACAGCAGCATCATGACACCTTCTACCCACCAGGTCACAGTGTAAGAGGGGCCGAGATCTCAGTGTTTGCTGTGAAATATCTACTGGTTAGATTTAAGCACAATATGTACAATTATTAATATTCCTTTTAATTGTTATGCTTAGTAAAGGCTGAAAAAAACAAGTACAATCTTAGGCAAAATTATAGTGATTTTTCCTACAATCTAGAGGTACACATAAATCACCATACTTATTCAGGAAGAGGTGAATCTTAAAGGAACAAACAGCATAGGATCAGTGTTTTTAAAGAAGAATGTTCTCAAAAAAAAAAGAATTTTCTCTCAAAAAAGTATATCGAAAAATTAGTCTATGAAAAATATTTACTATAATTACTTTCAATGCTAACAATCAACATACCTATAATTGTATATATAATTTCACAGAAATTCTCTTTGCTTATTAAACTTTCTAAAACACTTGGACTCTTCCAGAACTTGTATACATCTCTATATTAATGAGTAGCGGTTACCTTAGAAAGATATACTTCTGAATGTATATTTCCAAAAATGTAAAAGATATTAAAATTTATCCTGTTGTAATATTTCAACACAATGTCCTGTGCTACACTAATTCAATGGAATCCTCTATGGACAAAAAGATTCCTGAGTAAATAGGTTTAAGACATGCTCCATATTGCGGCTTTCTAAATGTGCATATTACTTGCTCACTATCATAAGAAAACACAGGTGAAGCACTCTAGACAATAAGCCTGTTTATGGTGTTTAATCTAGCATTCTCCAAGCTGATTGGCATAGTCTGTCATTTAGGTATCTGTGTACCTTTCTGTCTTTTTATTAGAATATCTATTAATTACCCCTAGTTCCAGTATTCTAAGAAGCACATTTAAAGTTAGACTGCTACTCTATCACTTCTGTCAGTTATGGTAAATTATTTCTTAATACATATAATTATTAACATGGCTAAATGGATTTTAAAACAATTTATCTCACTGAGATAAACTGAAATTCTCTTCCAAAAGTTACTCTGATTACTGCTCATGGTAGGTCTATTGTCTAGAACAGATGGCGTTTTCTGTCTGTCCTGATTAACACTATAACTCAGGAGTCAAGAACCTGATGTTCATGCAAGTCAAAAGTAACTTGCAATTGAGTAATTTAAGTAATTCACCACTAACTTGCTATTGAGCAACGATTTATAGCATATACTCAAAATGCATGACTTTGGTCCTGGGTGCCATCTGTGGGTCTCTGGTTTTCCAAACCTATACACACACACACACAGACACCACCACCACCATCACAAGTGTGCTTCATTATGCACCAAGAGCTATATAACTCAAGAATTCTTGTGCATATTTGGTCTTAAACTAATGGCACCACTTGCTATCTTTCATCTAGTGAGATTTAATGATAGCCAAAGCATAGGTCCTAAATTATCATTTAAAATTATTTAAGGGTTGAATTTTATTCTCTCCTTAGATTGTCTGGGGAAGGCATGGGACTAGTTTTTTTTAAAGTTAAATAAACAAACATTCTCAAAGAATCCAGAATCCTCAAACAGCAGCAAAACTGAGGCATACAAAGATTAAATAACTTGCATCAGGGTAGACAGCTTGTGAGAACGGAGCCAGAATCCTAACTAGGGCAATTCAGTTCACAACTCCAGCACTTGCTGCTGAGCTATGCAAGCACAGCCGTTAGGAGGCCTGCAATTAGCATAGTAGCATCTTCTCCTGGACCTAGCCTGGGAAGCTCACTGCCTTTTACTACAGCATGGAAAGATACGGAAGTGCCAAGGTCTTGGGGAATGCATCTGTGTCTGATCAATTTGTAATACTGATTTCCTAGGGTCATAATGAAGGTCCCGGTACTCTTCAGTAAATGTATGGTTGATCAAACGTAGATCTTATTTCAACAAGAAAACTGAAGTCTAGACAATGAGGTAACTTACTCATGATTGCAGTGTTAGTTGTATTAAGACTAGAACTTGAATTCCAGGCTCATTCTATCATGTTAGACAGCTGCCCCGAAACAAACATTGTTGGACTGGTGACAGCTGGACTACCATCCTTCCACATGAACTGGCAATTTCTCCCATGCTTAATCCTTGCAGTTCCTCCCTGTTCCTTGAGGAAGGCATTGTTCAGTGAACTCACAAACATGGACACAAGATGGGAGAAGAGCAGGACACACTTCTCCCTGACATACCTGCAAAGCCAAGCACCGTCAGCAGGGCCACATCCTGCCCTGGGAGGAGAGGACTCCCGTCTTTCAGAACCAGAGTGAGGTTGGGAGCCCTGGACTCACAGTTGGTCTCAGCCATTCTCAGCACACTCTGGGGGGCCACAGACGGAAGGGACAGCTGGCAGCTTATGCCTCTGCTGTTTCTCAGTGTGTGAGCAGAAGACTTAATGTAGTTTCTTAAAAAGTGAACCAACGGCTGCAGATCCCAAGTGCAGCTCCACTGGTTCTTATCTAAGCTCAGAAGACTTAACTGCTTCAGTGGAGTAAAAACATCCGCTATGTGGGCCAACCGATTTCGAGAAAGTTCCACTACCTGTAGTTGAGGCAGTGGCCAGAAAGCATCTTTGTCGATGTCGGAGATGAAATTGTTAGATAAATCCAGGTGCCTGAGACTGTGGAGATCTGTGCCTCCAAAGGAGCTGTTGGTGAGATTAGTGATGTGGTTGCCATCCAGATGGAGCCGGGTGAGGACCCTGGTGTTACGGAACCAGGCTCCTCGCCAGGTGCGCAGAGCGTTGCTGCTGAGCACCAGCACCTGCGGGTGGGGGAGCTTGCTGAAGGTGTGGTCAGCCAGGGAAGAGCTGGATAGGCGGTTGTGCCCCAGCAACAATGTCTGCAGCTTAGGCAGCCCATCTAGGGAGTGCTCTCACAGGTCCTTGGTGCCGTTCCTGCTCAGGGAGAGCAAGGCCAGGTTAAACAAGAGAGACAGGTTGGTGCTCTCTACAGAGAAGTGTCCATCGGCGATGATCAAAGCCCTGTGATCGTGGGGGCTGCTGCGGGGAGAGAAACACAGGCTAAAGGTGGGCTGCACAGGAGCAGAGGGAAGCCTGGTGGACGGTGGAGGGATCACAAGCCTCAAAGCCCTGATGCCTTCACCTGCTAAGAAAAACAAACAGAATGAAAATGATCCTCTGATTTCTCAACATAAGGGGAAGCTGGCGAACTGTCAGAATGGTGACTTTTCTTATGCTGTGCTACTGCGACACATTTGTTTGAGGACAGAAACCCATCTGTTCCTTTAGATGGCAAAGTTCATTCATCGTCTGGGATTACCCTCCCTGATGTCATCTTGAAGGGGGCTTTTCGGGTTTACTCCCTCTGAGGCTGAGTGCTGACCTGCTCCAGCTCTGCTGTTCCCATACAGGTCCAGGAAGAGCAGGGCTGTGGCCAGAGCGTCCCACCCCGTTTTCCACTAGCAATGTGTATCCACGCCGTCGTGTCAATCATCCTTCCCCTGAAATGCACAGTGGGGTTGTGAGGGAGAAGGACTGTTGGTTTCTGCTTTTTAGCTCCGGGCTAGAAGTTGGCAACTTGGTGAGGATCTATATTCTCTCCAGACAACCTGAGGATCTGTCAGTGGGGTTCTTATTATAGTCGGGCCACCTTGGCCTCCTGTCTTATATCTGTGCCCACCAGTGAAGTGCATCATGCAATGACAGGTGGTATTCAGAGCTTCCGACTGTTAAATCTCTTCACCATAATCACCTCAGAGCTATCGCTGCTCTGTCATTAGAAATCAAAGCATTTTAACTCAATAAAGATGTATTATAATCAGGAGTTATTGTAACACATCTTTATCATGCTAAAATTGTTTTGACTGCAAATGACAGTGTCATAAGAATGGAGGAACCCATTGTCCCTGGGAGGTCCATAGGTGATATGAGAGTGGCAAGCCGTGGGGGGAAGCAGCTCTCTACTTCCTCAGGAAATTCAGACAGCATAGCTGAAACAAAGAGATAAAAAATGAAGTGTAAAGTACAAAGGAGTCTCAGAGTAGCTTCTAGAAGAGCTGCTTCTATCCCTGAAGAACAAGCAAACTTGAATTAGGGTTATTTTGCTTGGGTTTTGAGTTTTTCCTTACCATTCATTATTGGTCACTTGCACTCTTCATTCTGGCCAATTTGGCATCTTGTTACCCTCATCACTGTTTTTCATATGAGATAGAGGAATTTCGTCTCTAGGGGACCCTGGTCCTTTAGGGATTTGTAGACTCTGAATGAGCAGAATGGTGTTTCTGTCAATTAGTTCTTGTCTAAAACTGGAGAGAAATGCTGCTCACAAGTCATTCATTTACTTCTCTGTGTTTATGAAATGTAGCTTCATGCATGGCGTTCTGTGAATGAGGAGTTTATAGAGGTGCAGAAATGTAGTTGAGAAACATTTATTTGTTACAAATAGCAGCTCTCTCTTGTCCCATTTACACTCAAAATTTCATGAAGTCAGGAAACCCATGTTAAAATGTTCTCAATGTGATGGGGAACAGCATATTCACCAACTAGCCATGAAATCTTTTTTCCTGTCAGGAACGATGATAATATCTACATTCTAATTCTCATGGAGTCTTGGGATTTTAGAAATGAGAGAAATTATTTTCTCCTACTTTGTCTTCACTTAGTTTTATTTCTGGATATTTTCCATTGGTAGAGCTTATGGCTTGTTTATCTCTTCCTGAATATCAGGATGTAAATCACATTCTCTTCAAATTTGTTAATAAGGTGTCTTATTAAACTGTTGACTTAAGCAAGCAATATGTAATGAATACAGGCAGTGCATCTTGTTAGCATTTCTGCAGCTCATTTACCACCAATAAAAAAAGACCAGACTTTCAAAATGAGATGCAGTTTGATAATAATCTGTTTCACTGGTACATCATTTAATCTTACTAATGCTGAACAATTGTCGTTTGGGTTTCTGATTCAATTGTATTTCTTTCAGATAGTGGTAGGGTTCAAATCTATGCAAACCATGTACAGAAACAGAATGAACCTGTATTTTTTTTTCTCTTTAAAATTAGGTGCCTACATGGAACGGTAGTATTTTTTACAATAAATATACCTCAATTTTATTCAGTCCACCAGGAACAGAAAAACAAGCTAATGTTGGCAGTCTCTTCAACTGGTAAAACAGCCTTGCTCTTTACAGGGTTGCCTCTTCAGTCTGAGCCCAAAGAGCAGCTTGCTTAATGAAAGGCATAGCAGTGAATTTGCCAGCTACATTGAACACTGATTTTCAGACTGATTCATTGTATTACCTAAGACATAGGTTAGCTGATGACAGAGGGTCACATCTCCGGTACACACCATGCAAGATGGAGGACAAGCCGTCACCAACTGGTGCATGATAGCAAAGAGGATGAGCCATCCACCTGAAAAGAGAGGAGGGGGGAAGCCCATCGCAATGCCGGCATTTATCACTCCTGGTTTCGTTATGTACAGCACCTGAGGCATTCTAATGATTTCTACTTTTTAATGAGCACATTGCTGTTCTCCTGAGAGGCCAGGCCAATGACCAGTACCCTAACTTTGTGCAGGTTCAAGTGAAATTCAATGAGATCCCATCTAAGGCATACGTACTAGCGTAGATTACTACACCAATTATGTTACTTTGTAAAACACTCAACAGTTTGCAATGTTTATCAACAAGCATCATATTATTGAGCGCACTAAATTCTGCTGATTTGAGACTGAGGAAAGTAGAGTGCAGAACACTTATTACAGGGGCCGGGGAGATAGCTCAGTAGAATAAGTGCTTGGCTGGCGAGCACAAGGTCCTGAATTCAACCCCCAGTATGGCAAAGAAAAAAAAAAAAAAAAAACACTTACTGAAGCAGCCACAGCCTCCCAGCTAATGGGAGTTTAACTGAGCCTTTTACTTCACATTCTACGTTCTTTCTAGAGTTCTTTCAAGCTGATCTCAGGCACTGAATTTTACATAATTGCAACTGAATTATTTTATTTCTAAAATATTTAGATGCTACACTTGGGGAGAGAGTATGGAAGATTAAAATCATAGGTTTTATGTAGCTTTGAATTTAGCTCTGCTATTTACTGATTAGAATATCTCCCAAAAATATTTTATTTTTCTTATTTTCTGCTTTTTCATATGTGAAATAGAAATAATAAATTCCTTCAGGACACAGCATTGTGAGAGTTAGATGAGATGCTGTCAATGTTCAGGAAGTGTTAAATTTTGCCATTATTTCTAGATTTTTTCAATGCCACAATGAAATAGTAACATCATTTATATTTTAGTTTGAATATGTCCATTCATTTATAATGTATTCCTTGGCTGATTTCAAAATGTAGGAGTCACGCTGTCACAAAGCCTTCTATCCATAGCATATGACGCTTTGCAGTCGAGCAAAGTATAAAGAAAACATCACACCATTAATTATCTTACTGGTTCAACAAGTGTTTTATACAGATACAAGTTCCTCCTGAGCTCAAGGCACCATTCATGGCCTGGTAGGTAGGGGAGTGTCAAGGCCCTGCCTACGTGGGTGCACATTCTCTGGATGGATCTAAACAATAATCAAAAACAAAGACAAGTATTGAGACATCTAGTCATGAATGATGCTATGGAATGAATGAATGAAATGAGCAAAGGAGCTAGCATTAACTTGGGGAGAACATTCTCCAGTAAAGTAGTGCAGAAGGGAAAGATGCTAGGAACCCTGGAAGGGAGACCGAGTGTAGAGCCTGGAGCACATGGCAGGCTTGATGTGAGGAGGGTGGCATGGCTATGCAGAGAGGGCATGAGGAAGTGGAGGTCCGGGAATAACAGAGGTAGACATGTTCAACTTCAGAATGAATGTCAGTTCTTTGGTTCTTTATCCAAACAAGATGGAGAGTAATTGTGCATTACTTTATCTGAAGTGTATGCTTAAAAGACCCTGCTGACTACTGCACCACGAGGCAAAGCAACTAAAAAAATAAAAGGCAAAAAAGCAAGAGACAATGCAGCTCCCAGAAGGAGGCAGATTCTAGATGATGCTTTATTAACATGACACAATTTATTTTAGCAAATCTTTTCAAATAAACAATCTAGGCCTGCAAGGGTAAATAAATGATGCTTATCCTTCAAGAACTTTTTACTTAGGGGGACAGTTACGGAAACGGTATCACACAAGGAAGTATGAAATCAATCTGTCTACTGGTGAAAAATTATTTTATGGACTCAAGAAAGATGTGGCAAAAAGGAGGAGTGGGGAGATAGTTCAGTAGAATAAGTGCTTCCCTGGCAAGTGCAAGGGCCTGAGTTCAATCCCCAGTTCTGAAAAAGAAAGAAGAAAGAAAGAAAGAAAGAAAGAAAGAAAGAAAGAAAGAAAGAAAGAAAGAAAGAAAGAAAGAAAGATGTGGCTAGTGAATTGGACCTAGCAGAGTACAGTGGGTTTCCATAGACTGTGCATAATGATTAGGTGATTCAGTCCGAGAAAATATTAAGAACAGCATGGGCAGCAAAGCCAGTCTCTGTTTCTTCCTTTTAGCCCTGCCGGGGATACTTAGACTCTGTCCCACACCTATGAATAAGGGCTCATCCAACAAGGTGTATGTATTTAAATAGAAAAAAATTATTCCAGTAAGAGACACATCGCCATTAACCCCTTCAAAACGCTTCCCTTGTTTCTAACACACTCAGACACTTGTATCCTTAGTGTCACTTTCTGAAGCAGCTCTGAAATTCTGTCGTAAGTATCCATATAGGTATGATCAAAAAGTATGATGAATGTTGCAGCTGCATCTGATTAACAGGAAAGGAGGGCTTGGAAAAGCATTAGGGTTTGTCCTAATCTGCCCTATGTGCCACATCTGGTGCCTTGTGAGTTATGTCTCTTCTCCAAAGTCAAAATGACCATGGAAAGGAAACATTTTGAATAAATGTAAGAAGCTGAGTTGGTTCCAAAGGATACCTGTAGACACACATTAAAATGCACAAGTTTGGGAGATAGAGCAGAGATTCAGGTGGAGGTACACACAGATTGTAGCCCATCTTTCTCCAGCATTTCTATCACCCTCTAGAGCCTATACATGAATGCTGGAACTCTAAGAGAACCCCTAAGATTCTCGTTCCCTGGAGTTCATGCATATGTGTTAGCAAAATCTGTGGATTTCATGAGATCTTCCCCGATTACGTTTTGCCGTACGGCAAGTGAATCTGGTTCTGTTTGGGACTGACCTAGTTAGTTTAGCCCCTTAAATGGAGGCAAAGGTCCTAGCTAGCCAGAGGAAGCAGCCAAACACTCATGCCCATGCTGGGCAGAAAACAGCAAATAGCCGTGTTGGGACCTGCTCTTTTGTGCGTTGTGGCAGGTACCTGTGAACATCCTCTGAAAGCCAAGGGTCATGTTCTTGGACAGTGGTTGGCAGCGCTGGAGTCACACAATCCCAAGGAAGTAAAGTCGGATAACAATCAGTGATCTTAGAAGAGACCCCTGAACCTCAAATCTGGATCACAGTGCCAGTGACGCCTTAGTCTCAGCATGATGGGACTCTGAACCAAAGGAGTGGATCTGCACTGGACTCTTGATCCATTGAAACTGTAAGATAAAACAGGGCCATTGATTCAATCCACTAAATTTGGGGGAATTTGTTATAAAACAATGACAATCCAACTCTAATTGCCCTGAATTATGCCACATGACTCTTTAGGCAAGCAAACTATGAAGATTTCCAAATATATAGATTCTGCTCATATAAGTATGCGCACACTATATAATATTGCACATAGCATATAAAAATACGTATATTTTTAAAAGATGACAGACTTCTTCATGTCCTTTCTTTCTTCTAAATGACTCTTGTTCAGGATCTAGTTTAATATTATTACGTCTCCAATGCCTCAAGGTAGTTGTCTCTTACATTTTGTCCAGAGTTTATAATTGCTATCTGTAGGAGGATTGTTCTAGTATAAGCTACTCAATCATTTAGGTTCTGCGTGCATTTAAAGGTAGGATCAGTCTCATTTTATGGAGGGTTAGCTGAAAGTATGGTAAAGACAAAAGGCAAAGATCACTCCACGACTTTGGCCTGTGTAGGTATAAGGATGAAATTGGAATTCACTAAAATAAAAAGACTATATGTCTATGGACAGTCAACTGCATGCATGAGTTTAGGTTCAAAGGGGGAACTACTAATCAGAAGATAGAAATACAAGATTTGTTTTTTTAGAAGTATGACACTAAATGAACTCATCAACAAATTAAGTAGAGAAGTAAAGAGACTCCAATACTGTGTCCCAGGCAACGCAATATTTAAAGGTAGGGAGGACGTAGAATCACAAGAGGAAATGACAGAGCCACTGCAGAAGGTGAAAAACAATGAGAAAATGATTACCTCAAAGCCAACTGGTAATTGTTCCACTTTATTTGATACTATGCCAAATGAGATGACACTGAAACTTAAAATTGAATTTTGCAATGAGGAGGTCTTCACACCCCTGACATGGACAATTTCAGCTGTTTGGTAGAAGAAAGCTTGATCAGGATGAAGGAAACTAGGAAGAGGGGAGTGAAAGAGCAACCTGACACTGCTCTTTGAGTCTGCCAACGGTGAGGGTGAATGGAGAAAGGGGTATGTTCTGAAGGAGAGGCCCCGAGGAGTTTAACTTGTGTTTGTAAGTTGGGCCGCATGGAGTGGGCCTGTGTCCTCATGGGGATTCAACAATGGAGAGGAAAAATGGGCTATGCAGGAAGTAGAAGGAACAATTGTGGGCTTGGCCACCATAGCCACAGGCAATGCTTCCATGGAAGTAAAAATGAAGGCAGATTGTGTGTTCAGGTGAGGGTAAGTAGGTAGAAGCCAAGGCTTGAGGGAAAACAAGTGGACCCAAAGTGGGCCTCTGGTCTGTGGGATAAGGCGGTACGCCCTATAGCGAAGATGTACTCGGCTACAGAGTCCTGTTTGCGTCTGTGTGAGTCAGCTCCATCCTGGGCTTCTTTGATTGTTAAAGACAGAGTCTCACCAAGTCATTAAATTGCTCAGACCAGGCTTTAACTCACAAGGCTCCTGCCTCACTTCACAACATGCTGGGGCTGCAGGAGTGTGCCATCCTGCCTTCTGAGGGGCACAGTTGTTATGAGGTTATATTCTGAGTACCAAGTGAGTCTTTATCATGGGAAGTAGGTGCTTATCCATAATGTCTTTTAATCTTTTTCTTCTCCCTTCTCTCTCAATCTCAAAATCCCCTTCCTATTTACAAAGAGCTATCCCTTATTTTCTATCATCTATTTATTCTTTTGCTCTTTCGATAACTTATACTTTGGGATTTTCACACAGGGAATTTATGCTATATTTAAGCATGTGTGTTTGATTTACTATAGTTATGGTCTCAAGATGCATCT